ATAGCCATTACGCTAACTGCTGGTCCCGAGGTTGTAAGAGTAAATAAAATAAAAGTTTAAAATATTGGATAATATATTATAGAAATGTAAAATATAAATATTTAATTTAATATAGAGCTTTACATTGCTAAATATTTAATATACCATATTCTTGGTCTAGTAGGTCTTCTAATTTGTTAACTCCTTAATATGTAAGCAATTATTTGATGAATTTGTTTCTTGACGATAACGACTAGAAAACAACATAATGGTCTTACTATCGAAGGAAATATTTCTCTATTTTCCACATTAAATTATATTTTTCACTAGAAATAGATTATGAATATTAATGATTTTTAAAATGTAATGTAAATGAAATGACATTTGAAACTTATCAAGAGTACTATCAATTAAGTTTCATAAGATAAGTAATTTTTTTTTTTTTTTTTGGAGAGATTTTTACTGTAGGGCGCGTGCGCTCGCCAGACAGACAGAGAGAGACATAGAGACAGAAAGTGAGAAATCACCCCCCGGGGGGATGGTCATGCCGCAATCCCTTCTCCTCCATTCTCCTCTCTGGATCTTGGGCATGCACGCACACATGCCCGGCGTGAGTTTTAAGCCACCGGGTCCGGGACACGAACCGCGGTCGACTACATGGGAGTCCAGCGACATAGCCATTATGCTAACTGCTGGTTCCCAAGATAAGTAATTTTTTTAAGAGAGAGATTTGCTATAGAGTGCATGTGCTTGCCAGAGAGAAACCAAGAGACAAAAAGTGAGAAACCATCCCCCCTGGGGGGATGGCCATGCCTCAATCCCTTCTCCTCCATTCTCCTCTTAGGATTTTGGGCATGCACACACATGCGCCTAATTTGAGTTTTACCCCCCCCCCCCCCCCCCCCCCCCCCCTCTCTCCCCTTATTTCATACTGCATCTTGATTTCGTTTTCTGCTTTCTTTCATAAACCTGCCAAGTTTGTTCAGTGTGTGAAGAATCGTGAGCATTCATTTTGCAGCTCTATCATCTGAGCCAGTCACTATGCTTGTCTTAGGTCTGTGATCCTTCGCCGTGCACATCAACATGCATGCCTCAGCCGACTAAAGCCGGTCACTATGCTTGTCTTAGGTCTTTGATCCTTCGCTGTGCACATCAACATGCATGCCTCAGCCGACTAGACTCACTGATGGAAAGCCAAAGATTCTTTTGGGGGAGGGTCCTCTGTCATCATGTCAACACCAAAGATGAATGCCTTTTCCCTCAAAATCTCAAAAATAGTATATTATTGGCATAGATCTACTAATAGAAAATAAAAATTATTTGATTAAATTAGAATGAAAATTATATACTATTATTTCATTTTAATTTTTGTGCCATACTATTATGTTGTATGTATGTTAGAAATTTCCTTTCTATTGGAAAATGACCAAATCAAACCTCTCTTCTTAAAACAGGCAAGAAAAGAAAATGCAAGCTTTTCAGAAAATAGTACATTTCCAAATGAATGACCTATTTTCATGGTATACTTTTGTAACTTTCTTACAGATAGTCAAATTATAAATGTCATGATCATGTGTCAAGTAGGGGGAGTATTCTGTAGGATATAAGCTACCCCTGTGGTTGGTGCTTTATCCCTTACTCTTCCAACAGGCCTGTGACGTTTGTACTATTATTTCCATATCACCAGTGAAAACGGTAGTCATAAATTAAGTATCAAAGTTAGATGCTAGATTTGAACTCAGATCTGTCAAATTCCCAAGTACATATGCTCTCTCTTTTGAGGCTACAATACCAAAGTCTAGTCTGCATTCCCTTTTAACAGATGAATGTTTGAGTACATTGGCCATAATAGGATCTGAAATGTGATTTTTTTCTGGATGACTTAATAGATACATTTTGGGCCAGCAGGTGACACAATGGTTAAGGTGCTAGATCCCATATGGCCAACTCCACAGCTTGAATCCCAGACCTGGCAGCTTGAAAAACATGCCGGGTCCATGTTGTGAGGGCATACCAAAATCCTGAGGGGAGAACGGAGGAAAAGGGACTGCAGTATGGCCATCCCACAGTGGGGGTGACTTCTCACTTTTTCTCTCTGTCTCTTTCCAGCAAGTAGACTTGCCCTATGGCAACATTTTTTTTTTTTTTAATGATAAGGTTTTACTTCTGCCTTTTTTTCCAGCTCTCATGCTCAGTTTCTTATACTCAGTAGTATCAGGAGCAGGCATTTAGTGTTTTCTCTCTTTTTTTCTGAAATTAGTCTTGCTTCATAGTTTATCAATTTTATTACTTTGTTTAAAAGAAGCTTAGGAAATGGATTTTTCAATCTTTTTTTTATTATTATTGTTATTTTAATTTGTTATAGGGCACATGTGCTTACCAGGGAGAAGAAGAGAGGGAAAGTGAGAAAGCAAATTGCTAGGCACAGGACTTGACCTATGGTTGGCCATGTGGGAGTACAGTACCACCTGCTGGCCCTGTTTTCTTTCCTTATACATGTATTTTAGTATTGTGAATTTTCTTTTGCGCTCTTAATTTTCATAGTTTTTTTATCATTATCATTCAGTTAAAAGCATTTTCTAATTTTATTGTTATTTAGAAATGTGTTGCTTAATTTTCAGCATCCGGAGACTTTTTAGTGTTTTTTTTTTTTTTTTTTAAAAAGTATACTAATTTTTTTTTGGGGGGGGGAGCGATTTTCACTGTAGGGCGCATGTGCTCGCCAGACAGACAGAGTGAGACATAGAGACAGAAAGCGAGAAATCACCCCCCAGGCGGGATGGTCACGCCGCAATCCCTTCTCCTCCATTCTCCTCTTGGGATCTTGGGCACGCACGCACACACGTCCGGCGTGAGTTTTAAGCCACCGGGTCCGGGACACGAACCGTGGTCGACTACGTGGGAGTCCAGCGACATAGCCATTACGTTAACTGCTGGTTCCCACAAGTGTACTAATTTGAAACTCCTTTGGGGATTTTGCTTGGTTGGTTGAATATAGCATACATTTTGAAGTCAACTGTTTCTTGGCATTCAAACTACTTAACATTTCTGAACTTCAGCTTTCTTGTCATACAAATGAGTATTACAAACTTATGCCCATTAAAATGTCATTTCTAAAGAAAATTACAAAAGTTGACAGTCTAGCTCAGGGTCTTGCATATCAGCAAATACTAAATTAATGTTTCTTTTCTCTCTCCCTCAGGTTAACAATACAATTTCCTTCAGGAAGCCAAACAGCTATAGCCATCGATGATTAGTCCAAGAATTCTTCACTAGCCACTTCTCCACTTGGCAGGTCCTCAGGGGAATTTGATGTTGGCTAGATATGGGAATGGATGTTATAGCAGTTCTGACTGAAATTAAAAATTGCCCCAAGTTTCAAGTAGCTCCACAGGCAGAATGTTTCAGTAACAGAAACATATACTTAGGGGACCTGGATTTTTTCCTCTCAAGACTCCACCTTATTGTTAGACTCAGTTGCTGGTTTCTAGACTCTTCAGTGTTCTTTCTTACCAGGATACCCCTTTAAAGTGGCTATCTGTGCCAGAAAATTTTGTCCCTCACATTCCCTTCTAAAGTGAAAATGGTAGTGTAGAAATCCATTTTCAAGAATTCTCCCAAGAAAACTCATTTTGAGTGTTCCAGTTCAGAGACAGTAGACACCTTAGGGGGAGCTGGTACCCTTTGATTTTTCTTCTGAGACATCAAAGAAGGAAGATGGTTGGTTGCATTCGGTAAGAGTCTCATATTTGAGAATCCCATGTTGACATTCCTTTATTCTCTATTAACAGAACACATCATCAGGTCCAGCAGCAGTGACTTTCAGTGCTAACACACTACTCCCTAGACTGGGATCACACAGGAAACCCACGTGTGATTTCAGATCTAATCCAAAGGTCAGACACAGTAGTGTGCACCAATAATCCCAGAGACTCAGGGGGCCTTGAGACCTTCCAGGAACTTATATAATGACATTGCAATATATGTGATCCTTAATAACTGACATAAAGAAAAACATTTAATGATTCAATGTAAAATGCAGGCCCATGATGTAAAATGCCCAGAGTTACCAAAGGCTCAGCCAATTCACTGGAGCCAGATCTAAAGTTGGGGCCTATCAGTCCAAGATCTGGAGGAGGCCAAACGTTCTTGTTGTGGCTGGCTGGGAAGCCTTGGAAAAAAAAAATTTTGACCCCACATGAGAGGTCTTGTGATGAAGCACAGAGTTCTGGCAAGGGCATGGGTCCTATTTGAGATGGCAGCCTCCAGTGAGTCTCCTGGATTTTGGCATCAAATGCTAGGGTTCAGAGTATGACTCAGGAGGTACCATCTCAAGAGAAAAAGAAAAAATTATTGAGAGAAACAGCACCCCGGGGTCTGAAGCCAGAGGTGTTTCAGCCCACTCTGCCAAGGAGAGGTGATAAATTTATATCCTGACCTGAGTTTTAAGCCACCGAGTCTGGGACTCAAACTGAGATTGACTACATGTGAGACCAGTGATGCAACCATTATGCCATTTGCTGTTCCCACTAATTATTCTGTTTCTATATTTCTTTTTCTTTTTCTTTTTCTTTTCTTTTCCTTTTTTTTTTTTTTTTTGAGATGTTTTTGCTATAGGGCGTGTGCATTCACCAGAAAGACAGAAAGTGAGAAATCACCCCCAAGGGAAGATGGCCATGCTGCAATCTCTTCTCCTCCATTCTCTTCTCGGGATCTTGGGAATGCAGGCACATGCTCCCAGCGTGAGTTTGAGCCACCGGGTTTGGGACTTGAACCATGGTCGACTACATGGGAATCCAGCTACATAACCATTATGCCAACTGCTGGTCACTCTTTTTCTATATTTCTATGATAACTTCTCCCAAAATATTTTATTCACCTTGAACGTATTGTTGATATTTCCATTTCCTGGGATATGACTGATTGCTTTCCTGTTTGGTGGCGTTAGTGAGAAAGATACCTTTTATATGGATGGCACACATGAACTGTTAGATGAGTAAAGACAGAAACACTGATCAGAATTATTCAGATGAACTATGAAAATATAGTAAATTGTTTTATTTTAATGCCTTATCTCTAATATTACCAGTTCACATTCTAATACCAATAATGTTGTGCATGTGGAAAGGTTTCTCTTTACTGATAAAAAGAAATCATTAGGCATCTCCTAAATATCTTCCCAGACATATAGGAATGTAGGATCTATTGTATCTGGAATTTTTTTTTCATTTCCCTAACATCATTTGAATTCACCTGACATTTGTGCACTCCCAAAAAAATCACCATATTATGAGTCAGAAAAACACTTAAGGCTAAAAGAAAATAATGAGAATGTGCAGATAGTGAGGTCAGGAATAGAATATTTTAGAGCTCTTAATGTCTGTGTGTCAGGAAAGTGAAAGAGGGAAACAACAAAGAAAGACTAGGACATACTCATTATTAAGGACCTGCTAATGTCTAGAATTTATAACTAGGCTAAAGAAGAAGCATGGGAAATTTGAAAATAGGAAGGAAGAAAGATGTTCTCATTAAACTCTTTGTGACTATAGTCAACAGGATAGCTTCATTCTGCCCTTTGCTAAACTTAGGAGGGTCTAATCCCTCTTTTTTTTTATTCTTATATTCCCAAATTTGTGGCAGAAAAACAAAAAACATTTTGCAACCAAGAATATAGCGATTGCTGCACATCCCAACAGGAACCCTATTACATCCAGAGAGTGGTACTGGAACCAGGTGAGGTCATGGGCAGCTGACCGCAGGTGCTTGGCCCCTTTGTGGCGCATGACAAACTCAATCCAGAAGACTGCCCGATCCAGGGGCTTCATTGGTTGGTCATGATGAATTCTTGACAATCTCATAGCATTCTCTTTATATCTAGAATGCCAAAACACATAGAGAAATGGAGTTTTTGGGTTGTTTTTATTGGAGTACAGGATACACGGCATATGTCAAAATCTAAAAGCTTGTTGAGGAAATGACCAATTCTTTTAGTAGCATAAATTTTGTCATTGGCATAGCATTTAGTAGATATATGGAGAGATAGAAAAAGAAATATGTTCCTAGCAAGTAGGTTAAAATAAAGACGTCTCCTAGGAAAAACATCATAAGCCAATTGTTATGTTAAGCCCTATTTTTCCAAGAAGGAAGTTTGATACTATATGAACTTTAGTTTCCAGGACTATTCCAAGACCACAATGGTGAGTAACCCAAGATTGTGGAAATATATCTATTAAGAAATCCAAAAGCATTGTCTCAAACATTTTTGTGGTATTATGGATAACAGAATCAATGCAGGTAAGCCCTTAATGCACCAGTACTTACGAAGGATCATTAGTAATCGTTCTTAAAGCTCTGAGCAAATCTGCACTTGTCATTGTGTTCCAGTTCACCTCCACAGCTGCTCCTTTGGCCTTCATGTTTGCAATGTTATCAGGCTGATCAGAAAACAAAGGAATTCCCACCATTGGGACTCCATGGTAAATAGCTTCATAGATCCCATTTATTCCACCATGAGTGATAAAAGCTTTGGTTTTGGGATGACCTAGTTTGAGAATTAGTTAAGGAATGGGTGAGAATTTCAATATAATGTATTTTAGAAATTCAAAAATGAAAGAGAAAAAACAAAACGCAGGATAACTCTCTGAGGAAGGGAACATTTTGTATGAAAGGTAAACGCATGAGGCACTGTTGCCACAGGAAATGATTATCTTTGGAAAAGGAGATATTCTTTCTTTATTGCTTGAAACTCTTAAATGAAGAGAGGAAAGCATAATTCTAAGATTAATGACCAATTCTTTAATTGTATGTGCTTTTACCTTGGAGTTAAATAATAAATTTTAACACAGTCGAAGCATTTGTTGAATTTGTTAGCTGTTAAGCAATTATTTAATTTGTTCTTATATAGTCTTACCAAGAAGATCATTCTGTGGAATCCAATCATAGATCCGAGTATTGGCTGCTAATGTGGCTGGTTTCTTTCCACTGTATCTCCATAAAACCTGTGGAAAGGATGCATGTATTTCACAAGGAAAACAACAGTGTCATACCATGTGTGGTCATAGAGAATTTCTAAATAAATCCCACTCTACTTCAGGTGATCATTGCAAGAAGAGATTGCAGAAGTACTTTGTGAATGCTAAAATAAATAGTATAACTATTGTCCAATATCAGTTCAAAGCATCCATGGTGATCTTACGAGAGAGGTTGAAACAAAGACGTACTGGACAATCAATCAGCATATGAAAATTAAAAATTATTATATTTTCATGACCTTCAGAACTTTTTGAAGTAATCAGTATAGATCTTAAGATTTCAACTCCACAGTGTGAGGTAGCGGCTATCTGTTTTTATTTCTATTTCATTACAAATGACAACAAAGTAAAGTCATTTCCATAATAACAGCAAAGCTCAGTAGGTCAAGTGGTCAATTGTGCCTTAACACACTATCATCTCATAAAGTTTTACTTAACACCGGTGACTGTTGCACTAAGTAGAAAATGAAATTCAGATTTTAAATGGAAAGCCAGACCAATGCTTTGCTTATAGCCCCCTACCAGTATTTAAGGCTGTTCTGACCTTCTGTGGAACCTGGGCGAGGGCTGAAGCAATGAGATTGGCCTTTTCATCTGTGAGGTTATATATGAACGAACCCAGGGAAAACACCAGAATGCCATCTTCACCTGAGCTGTGGACAAACTCTTCCATTTCCTGCAAAGAAAATATTCTCTGTATTTCAAAAGTGTAGTACTAGAGAGAATCAAATAAAGCTTATTTACACTTCTAAAATGAAGATTCAAGAGTTTTCAGAGGCATACTTAGATGATCTCTATAGTCTGACATGTATAACCATCTAGGCTCCTTAAGATGTCTGTGAATAAAATAAACAACTTAAGTACATGATCGCTGATTGCCAAAGAATCACCAGAGAAAGCATATGATCAAATCATCATACAAAAAGTTTGAGTGATAAAGGGGCAAGTTTTTTTCATATTTTGTGGCCACCACAGTCTAATAACTGAGTTTGCTTGCAAACTCATAAAAAGATCACTTGAAAGAATCACTTATATTATATGTGTCAATTAGCTGATAATGTGAAATTACCAGCACAGTGGTTTCTCTGTATTAATCATCATTATGTGGATCTACCTTCCTTTTAGATATTGCTTCAAAATAATTTTCATGTGTATGTATGTTTGTGTATTTGTATAAAGGTTGGGAGTGTGGGAATAGAGTAACTTGTCATGGGAAAGTAGAGAGTGATAGAATTATCACCTCTTTTTCAGTGTCTTTAGCTAGATAATGGTTCATTATGCCACAGCTTAATAAAATGTGAATTAAATCTATAACTAGTAAAAAAAGTGGCTGGTAAAAATGATATTCATAATTTTGAAGTGAAATTTTATTCATTAATACATATATTACTATCAAAAGACATCAATAACCTTCCCTCCCAGAATACCATTAACTCTGCAGCCTTTCTAAAGGGAAGGCTGTTTTGCTCATATTTTGCTCATATTCTCATTATACATAAAGGGTTTTCTCTTTATTTTCTATTGATATAAAAACAGTATCCTTGCTATAGTTAATTGCAGTGAATTCTTGGTATTCATGGTAAATGTAAGTTAGATTTCATTGTACCAGAAGCAGTGCCTAATCAATATTGACTTACTTTCAAGCCCTCTCTGCCTCCTCCTAATTCTTCAGTGCTTTCAATCCAGATATCTGAATTATGCACAACTGCCTCCTGGCAACCACACCTTTATGGCACAGCTAGATACAACTTACTTGGCCTGCTCTGCTGACCCTCGAGCCCCACAGAGTCTGTGCAGATATACCATAGTGACCTCCTTTTAGTAACAGGGTGACTCCACAGAATTTGTGACTACTTGCACTGAACCCACTGATTACAATTCCTCACATAAAAACCACCTAGCTATCACTTTCAGCCCCAAGAAAGGCATTGTCACACGTATCTCTCATACTGTCTTGCTCCCCACCCAATGGTTAAATGTGCATATTTTAGAGAATTCTCTCTTTCCTGTTGTCCTTAGATGGTTTGCTGATCTCTGTTCTCTGGGAATGTAAGTAATATACTACTTCTGTTATTTCTTGTGTTTTGTTGCATTGTCTCCTCTATATCTCACCTGATTGACTCAAGTGAACCTAACATCTGTCTTGGTCAGAGTCTGACAGAGGACTATTCTTGTAGGAACAAAAAGAACAGGGTTCAAGAACCACAAGAGTGTCTTCCTGTGTAAACAAGTTTCCTGTGAGAGAGACACCTGGTCACAGGTTACACCCTTAGAAATAGATTATCCACCAGGAAAAAAAAAATCTCATGAAAGGCCATCATAAACATCCACAACTAAATACATTGTAGCCCTAGTTTTTAATCACTTTTGGTAGAGACTTCAAGACTGAAGTTATAAAAAACCCATATCTTACTAAGTTTTACTTCTTAATACTAATTCAAACATTACTTGCACTCCATATTTTTTTCTCTGAATGATATGGAATATGTTATCCATTTACTTTTCCACTCCCAAAGAACCTGATATCAGGCTGGCAAAGAACTATAAAACTAAACAGTTGGGCAACTCATACCCAAGATCTCTACTTCATGCTGATGATTTGGAATCTTTCTATTACTGTCAGCTGAGATGGAGGTCAAGTAGTTTTTAGAAAATTCGAAAGTTCCACTGGCTTTCCTAAGTGGATAATCACAAAACAGAATACATCATTTTAGTCTCAAAGTAATTTTATCTGCAAGTATTTCCTTTTTTGGTAGAAGCCATCTTCATCAAATATAACGTCAGAATGAAAAACCAAGAGTCCACCTTAATCTCTTCTCTTCTCTCAACAATTACTTCCTGTCACTCACTAAATTGCCAGAAACACCCCTTAATAAGTCACAGAAAACATATGTATTTGTTTGTCTGCCATTATGATAATTGCAGTTGTTTAAAACCCCTTTATACTTGTGAGAAAGATTTGGAAAGTCTTCTTAGTGATCTTCAGGGCTCTCAATTTCTGTTGCTCCAATCCATCATCCATTCTATGGTAATGCTAATATTTTAGAATGCACTTCAGTCACATCACTTTTCAGCTTAATTCTTGTTGTAATGCCTAAAAGACCTATCCAGTAACATAGAAAATGGAGTTCCTGTAACATAGAAAATGGTTATGGAATGGCAAACTGAAGCCATTCAGCACCATGTTTCTGTTATGAAAGCTGTAATCTTTCAAGGAAAAGTAGGTATAGCTTCTTAAAGTATATAAATCTATCAACATAATAATTCTACCTTAGGTAAAGGTTTAGCTGGTTTGCAGTGTAATCCTCCAACAAATTGAAAATTTGGGAAGTAAGGATGAGGAAATTCAGAATCCCAGTAAGTTCGCATGAGCCAAATTTCAGCCTTCCCTAGAGTCTCACATAATGTTGTAGGTCTTCCTGAAGAAAACAAATAATAGTCACATAAAGAGAATTAGCAAATCATTTAAATGGGAAAATCGAACTACTAGTTTTCTGAGAAAGTATCAAGAGAAAATTAAGTTTAGTTCTTTAGAGTAATATGGCATCTAGATGTCAAATGAAGGGGATAATACAGTAATGAGAATTAAAAAAAAAAGAAATAGAAAAAAGGAGGGATAATTATATTAAAGTATATTTTCACAATATAAATAATATTATCAATTCTACACTACAAATATACTTACTATTCATTTCTGTCACTCAAAATAACGTGTAGATGACAGTTTAGTCTCACAATACCTTCACTAAAAACTTCTCAATAATTTTTAGCCTTCAGTGAGAGAGAAATCTTTGAAAGATCCCACCGATATTAGCCCACCTTAACTTCCTCCATTACATTCTGTCACTTCAGTTGATGAAGCAGCATTTTATTACTAACAATTCCCTGAGCAATTTCTCTCCACAAGGAAAACTTCTTTGGATTGTGAGGAACACAAATACATGTTTGACTATTACATACTTTGACTGTTACATACACTAGAGTTTTGTGGCCTTCAGGTGATGTATTTTGAAGATGGACACATTTTAAGTTTAATTTTAGGCTGTTCAGAGAATGACTAATTGTAAACAACCAAGCCAATCATTTTTATTTACAAAAAGGTTGTTTTGTAACTCAGAAAATAGAGAAAAACTCAGATGATAATGTTTTTCTATTTACAGCTAGTGGTGATAAATATAGGATGGGAAGCCTCTTTTTAGAGAGATCATATTTTAGTGTTTTAAGTTATGGTTCAAAGTCATAAAGTTTACTGCCTTTAATTTAATAATGCATACTTATCAATGCCTTTTTTTTTTTTTTTTTTAGATTTTTGCTATATGGCGTGTGGAATTGCTAGAGAGACAGACAGTGAGAAATCACCCTTCTGGAGGGGATAGCCACAAAGTAATCCCTTCCTCTCCATTCTCCTCTCAGATGTTGGGAATGCATACACACACACCTGGTGTGAGTTTCAAGCCTCCAGGTCTGGGACTTGAAGTGCAGTTGGCTATGTGGGAGGCCAGCACCTTAACCACTATGCCAATGGCTGCCCTTCAACAACACTCAGTTTTAAATTCTAAGATGTTAGATTGGTACTATCTCAACTTGCAAGCAAATATATCTATCTCCTCTAGATGTCTTGTTTTCAGTGTCTCACATGCTGCCTGAATTGCCAATCCTAGGGGGTATTAATTTACATGTTCTTAAATCTTATTTAAAAAAAAACTGAATTGAACAATTAGGGAAATTCTATATTTAAAGGGTTTGTTCACAAATAGAAGTATAGAGATAGACAGAAGAAAAAGAATGAAATAAATTTAAGTGTACAAATATCCTTAAAGAATATCATGTCTTATTAAAAATGTTATACTTAATGAATCCTGGAATAAAAACAGTGATTTTTAAATGGACTGATATTCTTTTTCCTATAGTTATGTACATATAGTTGATTTATATTCATAATGAGTGATTCTATAAAATATGTAATAATCAATATTACAGTATTTTGAAATATCAAATAAATATTGTTATTGAGTGAATCAAGCTACCCAATGAACATGTGAGGTGGTTTCAAAGGATCATCACAGGTTGCCTGAATGCCTAAACAGAACAAACTTTTGTTGACACTAAAATGTCTTTCTGAAAACTACAGATCAATAACTTTGATGAATATAGATGCAAAAATTCTCAACAAGATACTAGCAAATCACAGCAACATTTAAAAAAAAAGATTATACATCACGACCAGGTAGGCTTTATTCCACAGATGCAAGGGTGGTTCAATATAAGCAAAACTATAAAGCTAGTACAGCATATTAACAGAAAGAAAGATAAAAATCATATGATCATACCAATCAATGAGAAAAAGCGTTTGATAAAATACAACATCCCTTCATGATTAAGACTCTCAGCAAAATTGGCATAGAAGGGTCATTCTTCAATGCAATAAAAGCTACTTATGAAAAACGCATAGCTGGGACCAGCAGTTAGTATAATGGCTAGGTCGCTGGATTCCCATGTAGTCAACCATGGTTTGAGTCCCGGACCTGGTGGTTTAAACTCACGCTGGGCGTGTGTACGTGCATGCTCAAGATCCCGAGAGGAGAACGGAGGAGAAGGGACTGCGACATGGCCATCCCCTCTGGGGGGTGATTTCTCACTTTCTATTTCTCTGTCTCTCTCTGTCTTTCTGGCAAGTGCACGCACCCAATAAGAAAAAAAAAAAAAACTCTCCAAAAAAGAAAAGAAAAACTAATGCATAGCTAACATCATACTAAATAGGGAAAAGCTGAAAACTTTTCCACTAGACAAGGCTGCCCAGTGTCACCACTCCTTTTTAGTATAGTGCTAGAAGTCCTCGCCAATGCAATCAGAAAGGAGAATATTATAAAACTCATTCAAATAGAGAAAAAAGAGGTGAAATTTTCTCTATTTGCATATGGTATATGATTGTATACATAGAAGACCCACGGGTATCCATGAAAAGTCTCCTGGAAGTAATAAATGAATATGGTAAAGTAGGAGGACACAAAATCAACGTACAAAAATATATAGTATTTCTATACGACAATAATCAGATTGAAGTAGAACTGAAGAAAGTTATCTCATTTGCCATAGCCACAAACAGTATGATATACCTAGGAATAAATCTCACCAAAGAAGTGAAAGACCTCTACAAGAAAAACTATGAAAATCTAAAAAAAAGAAATTGAAAATGACACAAAAAATTGGAAGGACATCCCATGTTCCTGGATTGGAAGAATTAATATAATCAAAATGGCAATTCTATTCAAATTAATATGCATGTTTAATGCAATCTCAATCAAATTACCAGTGACATTCTTCATATATTTAGAAAAGACAATCATAGAATATACCTGGAATCATAACAGAACCTGTATTGCCAAAGCAATCCTGCACAAGAAGAGAGGAGTAAGAGACATCTCACTTCCTGACCCCAAAATATATTACAAATTTGCAATAATCAAAACAGCATGGTATTGGCACAAGAAGAGACATGTAAAACAGAAAAGAGACCTCAGAAATAACCCCCAAAACATACATCCAACTGATTTTTGAAAAAGGGTACAAGTCAATCCAGTGGGAAAAGGAAAATCTCTTCACAAATGTTCCTGGAAAAATGTGTGTCCACCTGCAGAAAGTTCCTGGACCTCTATCTCTCACTATTAACAAAAATAAACTCAAAGTGAATCAAAGATCTAAACCTAAGGCCTCAAACTATAAAATGACTGCTGGAAAATACTGGGGAAACTCTCAGAGACATTGGGGTAGGCAAAGAGTTCTTAAATAAGACCCACAAAGCATACAAAATGATCCCAAAAATAGATAAGTGGGATTACATCAGATTAAGAAGTTTCTGCACAGCAAAAGACGCAATTAGTGTTACGACAATGCTCATAATGGGAGATTATTTTTATAAACTATGCCTCATATAAGAGACTGATAACCAGAATACACAGGGAACTAAAGCAACTTAACAGAAAAAAAAGGGGGGTCAACCCAATTAAAAGATGGGAAAATAAATGAACAAACAACCTCTAAAAAAGACGTATGAACAGCTAAAAAGCATATGAAAAAATGCTCAGCATCTCTTTTCATAAGGGAGATGGAAAATCACAATGAGATACCACCTATTCCTAATCAGAATGGCAACGATTAAAAAAATAATAATAAAACATGATAATTGCTGTCATGGCTATGGTGAAAGGGGAACTCTCTTCAACTATTTGTGGGAATGTACATTGGTCCATCCACTGTGGAGAACAATATGGAGAATGTAAATTAGTCCAGTCACTGTGGAGAACAACATGGATGTTATTCAAAGATCTACAAACAGAACTACTATATGATCCTGCAGTTACACTCCTGGGTATCAACCCAAAGAACAAGAGAATGCTCCATTGGAAAAGTACTCGCACATCTATGTTTATTGTGGCATGATGGATTGCTAAGACATGGAACTAACTCAAATGTCCACAAACAAATTAATAGATTGAAAAACTATGGCACATATACTCTGTAGAATACTACTCAGCCATAAAAAAAAAAAAACAAAAAAGATCCTGAAATTTGATAGAAAGTGGACAAATATGGAAGATTTACTGTTAAGTGAGCAAAACAGGCTATGAAAGAGAGACATTGTGTGTCTCCACTTAATATATACCAACTGTTCACACTCTATGGCAGAAACTGAAAGATTAGAGGATATGGAAGCACAGAAAATTCTTATAGTGACTTGAGACAGTGTAGGAAGAAGGTAGGAGAAGGTGGAGAATGTGAGGAAAGAAATTAAGGAGAAAAAGAGAGAAGCAATACATTTATGAGACACAAAAAAAGGACTGTTGTCTGTTGTTGATAATGTGTATAGTATTCTAAGCTGGACTGGTGTGAGGTATATTTGTGTTGGGCAAATTCACTTCCCAAGCCAAGTGATGTACCATGATTGAATGCATAAAATAAATTAAAACAAAACAAAATATTAACAACAATGAAAAAACAAGAGCACAACAAAAATCTCACATTCATAACCATTGGAAGTGCATGTGCATGACTTTGAGTGTGTGAATGCACTTGTGCACATATGGAATGCTGTGAATTGGTGATTTAATTATTGAATTCAGAATGGTACCGAGGTATATCAGGACATAGAAAATAGGTATTAGCCAATTCCTTAATTAGATGCTTTAATTTTGAAGTGTAATTCACTATAGTAAATAAAGTCCATGTATTCCTGAAAAAAAAAAAAAGATGTCTTTCCCTCTTTTATTCTTCTTTGATGGCATTGTTTTTCCTCTATTCTTTATTTAAGTCTTCTCAAGGGGCTTTAATTATAATGCTATTATATCAAATATGGTAGTGACATATTTGTGGTTTTTGTCCCTTCAATTTATTTCTTAAGAGATAGTAAGGCCAGGATTCTTGTATTAGTTACTTATCTTTATAGAGTTAAGCATGCTGGGTCGTACTTACACACTATTTACTGAATATTGAAATAGATAATTGGAGCAAATAGGTCCATGTAAATTCAAATTATATCTACAGCTGAGAATTTTTTATGTGGTTTTCCCTTGCCATCAGTTTTGTAAAACAACTCTATCTAAACAATTCCACTAGAATTGAGCAAATTAAATTTGACAATATTGGGACCAGCAGATGTTGTAATGTTCACGTTGCTGGACTCTCAGGACCCAGTGGCTTAAAACACAGTGAGTGAGTTTGCATGCATGCCCAAAATCCCAAGAGGAGATTGGAGAAGGGATTGTTGTGGCATGGCCATAACCCCCTGGGGGGGTGATTTCTCACTTTCTGTTTCTCTGTCTCTCTGGAGAGTGCACACCCTCTAGCAAAAATTTCTCTTAAAAAATAGTCAATATTTTGTGTGTAAGATGGTCTTTTATTTCTTTATTCAGTATCTGAATACTTCTCAGATATAGTTGGAATGAAAATCTGCCTTAATCGAGCAGCTCAGAACTGAGTGTATGACAATTGCGAAGTAAAATAATCTTTTAGGTAAAAAAACAAGGAATAAAAAAAAATTGAATATGTGTACAACAGGATACAAAATATGCTATTTTTTACTACACAATACTCGCAATGTTATAGGGTTTTCTTATTAATTCTTTAAGGTTTTTTTTTTCAATCAGTCCAGAAATTCATACACTCAGAAACATTTCAATGTGAGAAGACATAGTGAAATTGGCTAGAGAGAACTTTCTGAAAATGATTCTGAAATGTATGAGAGCTGAAAATGCCAGATGCCTTGTATTAATAGAAATAGTTAAAACTGAGACTAACAATCAATGATTCTAAAAAAAATGTGTAGTTCAAATGGAATGGTTTTAAAAATATATCAAATAATCATTTTGTTAACGTAGATTGTATTTTGGCTTATTACTGGTGTTAGGCAAACAGGTTATTTTATTCTTACAACAAATATTATATTCTCTTTAGCAAGAACAACTACGTCTTTCTCTAATAGAAAACTCACTGTACAGGACTACATGGACTATCCTACACGTGACAAAAATTTTTCTATATTTCTTTTGACAACAAGTTGCAAATGAAGAGTCTCTTACCCAAAACTGTACTATAAAACTGTTTCCAGAAATGAAAGTCGTAATACTGTATCCATAAGTTAAAGAACACAAAAGACAGTGTATTTTTTACTCTTTCCAAGAAGGTCATTCTGTCTGTTAGTCCCACCATGTGAACAGGTACATAGGAAGGTGGAGATGGGAGCTTCCCACAGTATTTCTCTATATTGCCGCCAATGGAGGACTTAAGTGTGATCACAAAAGGAACTGCAAGCAGCTCAGCCAGCAGTTCCCCACAGGGTACCACAGGGTCTATGATCATTACGTCATAGTTGGTTTCCTGGAGCTTCTTCATGAGTGTCTGATTGTAGACAACACTCTCACACAAAAGCTTAAATTGTTGATTATATCCAGCGAAGAAATTATTCAGTTTTATTGCTGACTGCCAGGAAGGTAAATTTGGTAAGACGTTAACAGCTAGGTCCATAAATTTTTTAGATATATCATCTGTAAATTCTTTGCCTTGTGGCACATGGAACACCTCAAAGTTCAGTGCAGAAGACTTCCTGTAGTCAATGAGGAAAGTATGTGAAGGAATTATCACTGTCACCTCATGGCTCCTCGCTATGAGTTCCTCCAGAATGATCTTCAAATTAAGCCAATGGCTCATGTCGCAGGGCCACACCAGGACCTTTCCACAGAATCCACAGCCAGCACAGCAGAGTAGCAGCAGAATCATAACCCACTTCTCAGACCCCATGATGGTGGCACCTTCAAGCACTGCTCTGCAGAGGTTGAGTATTTTCTGAAAACAGAGTTGAAATACAGACACTCCTAAAATAGTCAAAGTTAATCATTGCAGATGAAAGGTCACTGGTTGCTTAGAAGTTGAATGTTTATTAAAGGACAAAAACATAAATGCAATGTGTTGGAGAAATGTGGTTTCTTTTTATAGATACTATAAATAAAATACTTGAAAGGAATATTTTTGTTATCTAGAATGAAAGTGAGGGAAATAATATTTATTTAAAGTTAATATTGAAGTAATCTTAAAGCTAATATTTTTAACACATCTTTAAAGTTAATATTTAACATGAATATACACAAACATGCTTAAATCCGTTTTACACAAAGCGTGGTGTGTAGTGGCTTAGGAGAACATATTTCACATTCCTTGGCCTTATCTACCAATTTACTAATAATACAATGCATATTGGGACTATTTTGTCATATATCACATGATTAGTACAAGGTGTTAAGAGTTCTAGACAAAAATTTACCATTATACCTATGTGGAATAATCATGAAAAGCTTTAGTAAGACAGATTACTTAAGAGATGCAATGAAAGCCTTGCTGTCATTTAAACAGAGAATTGTAGAAGGAGGTATTTCACAATGGTTAGAAGACTATGAAAAGCTAATGAATATATTAAAAGCATTTCAGTGAGTATATATTAGAATATTCTTATTCTTAAAATGTTGAGGACAAGAGGTTAAAGAAGAAAATTGTTTTGAAACTTGAAACCTTAAATAGTCTCCAATGACAAACTATGGGGTGAATTTTAATTTATAGTAAGAAAATTATTTGCTCCACTTTTAAAGAAAGACAGTCATGGAGATTAAGTTTTTTCTTAAGAAAGAAATTTTGGTAGCTAGATTGGCATGTAAAAGGAAGACATTAAAATTATGGCAATGATAAAAAGAATACACCTTAGAGTGGCATCATAACAGCTTGAAACCTGAATTAGTGATCATAAACACAAGAGATTTGTTTAAAAGTGTGTGAATACTAATTATATCTGACGCTGAAAAAAAAATGAAGAAATTGTTCAATTTTATCACTGACTGCCAGGAAGGTAAACTTGATGTTAATGGCTACGTTCATACATTTAGCTCCATAAATTCAGACACTTGTTCTGTCTAAATGAGTACAGAGCTGATAATGTAGCAGGTAAAGTACAAGCCAAAAAACTAGCAGCAGGATTAGAAAAGTGTATGATCTTCCTGACATTTTTTTCTCATGCAGTAATCAATCTAATGATAAGACAACTCCATGTAAATGTTTAGAAAATATTTAAGTCTTTCAATTCTAAGGTTTAAGCAAAGACATAATGTCTCAAGATACAAATGGGTAATCATTCTTGCATCTACTAGTATCTCTTCCTTCAATTTCTTTTACATGCACGTACAAATGTAATTAAGTGGATGTAACAGGAAATGTAATAAACAATTTACATCCCTTAATAAATGCTAGTGCTATAGGAAGAGCTGTAAGTCATAATGGTAATATATTTTGCACAAAATCACATATTAATAGGTGAATTTTTTAATAAAATAAATAATTTTCTCTATGCTGTGTGATTCTGGATCACCAAAACCTCTGCTGCAGATAGCTTAAACTTTATACTGGCTCCTTTGTCAGAGATACACTAAAAATAAATAACTCTGACTCATTTTCTCTACCATGAATTGCAGTCTGTTCCAACCCCCCTAATTAGAAAAAACAATGCTATCCATTATATTGTAGTCTTGTTGAAAAAAAGCTCCCTTATTACCTTCCCATTTATTTATTTATTTATTTATTTATTTATTTATTTATTTTTCTGGAGAGGTGTTTGCTATAGGGAGCATGTGCTTACCAGAAAGACAGAGAGAGACAGAGAGACAGAAAGTGAGAAATCCCCCCCCCCCCAGTGGGAATGGCCACGCCACAATCCCTCCTCCTCCATTCTCATCTTGGGATCTTGGGCATGCACACACACGCACCTGGCATGAGTTTAAGCCACCAGGTCTGGGACTTGAACAATGGTTGACTACATGGGAGTCCAGCAACATAGCCATTATGCTAACTGGTAGTCCCTACCTTCCCCTTTATAATGGTCCATGGAACCACATGGAAATCTTATTTTGGCAAATCACGCTCATAATTTTGGAGAAATAACTAATTCCACCTCTTATTTTAGCTGATCAAAAGGAAGAATTTCAGGACCCATTTTACAATTAGTTGACCCAACTGCTAACTCATCCAGCCCACTTTATTCCTCTTTATGGAGTATTGCACTTCCCTTCTTTCCTAGAATCCTCTCCCATGGTAACTATTCTAACCATTCTGACTATGGATCTATGATGTTAACCCATAATCCCTCATCTATGTTATGAATTTGTACAACTCACCAATATGTGCCTTTTATGGGACAAACCCTTCCATTTAAAAAATTGTCTTTTATTATAATACTATTCTGATCAATGGATGGGATTCTTCCTGAATCACATCAAAACATTACCTCCTTAAATGTTCCTTTTGTTATACCCCTTCTGCAACAAACAAATTTTCCAGCCAGTCAATTTATCTAGACCTTTGGCTAAATCTTTCACAAGTTCTTGAGTAGGTCCTTAGCTGCTATAGGCTCAAAACTTTTCTTTTTCTTTCCTTTTTTCTTCTTTCTTTCTTTTGTCTTTTCTCTTTCATTGCCTTCATTATTCCTTCAATCATTATTATTGCCACAGCTACTCTCGCCTCTGCTTTACTCATGGAAATGATACATACAGCACAAATGCTTAATCGAGTAATGACCAATTTTATCCAATAAATGATTGAACAAACCTCACTTCTTATCTATAAACCCTTGTAGGTGCTATTAAATGGCTAAGTGAAATACAAGATGCTGGAATTACACAACAACCCCTACAATGGGATTGAGAACACTGTCATATTTGTGTTACTCTTTTGTATAATTGTTTTATGCACTCCTGAAAAATTGTAAAACATTTACAAGGAGTTTTTCATCTAGTTTGTCCATCTGGGTTACTTATTTGTAAACCTCTCAAACAAACAAACAGACAAAAAAACCCCACAACTTTTCTTGTTCCAAAAGGAGACTCAAGTCTCTACTCTTCAAACACTACCAAATAGCTTCAAATGGATAAATCCTTCCACCTGTTTCAAGGCATTCGTTTACAAACATGGACAATTGCTGCTACGAGTATTTAAATTTGTCTGTTGTCTCTGTCGCCTTTCTAGACAAAGTCAGTAACAAAAGACTGCCTTTTCTACTTACCTTCTGCTCTCCGAAAACTGCCCAATCTCTGCTCAAAAAAAAAAAAAAAAAAACACAAAAACTAAATTAAATTTAAAAAGGAGGAATTGAGAAAGAACAACAAAAATCTGTCACTTACAAAACTGCATGGATAAATAATTTCGGAGGTGTCCCTTTGGTAGCTCCAGTTTAGTCAGAAGGGAGATATCCAGAGCTAATGAACATTTATCACTTAAAATATTATATAGATAAACTGTAGTGCCCTGGTCACGGAATTCCCAAAAAACCACAAGGAGCCGATTCCGCTGTAAGCACCTGAAGGTCGTTTTATTCGGGCTCGAGCCAGGACTTTCAACTTACTGACACAGCAGGTCAGAGTTGAGAGCCCCGGTGTTAGTTGGGCTGGGTTTTTATTTGACTGTTAAGGGGGAGGTTGAGGGGTGCTGAGGAATGCACTCACACAGCTATCCATTGGCTGTAGATTTCAAGAAGCACGTTGTCTTTTACTGATTGGTCTTCAGACCATTAAGTTGGACAAGAAAGTTACTTCAGATCTCTGGCATTTCTTTTGTTCTTCTAATTATGACCCTCTCTTACTTGAGATGGCACCGAGTCTCAGCAAGGTGGGTTTAACAAAATGGAGTTGCCCTCCAAAGAAATGGAGTCACTCTGGTCCTTCATTTCCCCCTTTTCCAAGTACATAGTGAAGCCAATCATGGATCCCTGTTATTGAGCTCCATATGGTCTCAATCAGGGATGGGCTGATTTTATGGTCTCCAGTTGCTGGACATAGTTGTTCCTGCACTGGAGTGCCTGGTCGGACGGCCTGGGCCAGTGTTCATGGTATGCAGTCACCAGGCTCAATCACTTACAGGGAGACTGTGACACAGTGCTTTTCAAGACAATGCAAGCAGTTTACAGAAGCAGGACAACACTTAGGTACTTAATGGAAATAACAAAATTTCTTCAGAAAACAGAAACTATATTATTTTTTTCTTTGGGTCTCTTTAAACATCTATTAAGGAGAGTTACTTTGATAGTGCAGTGCCTGATATACTTGAGCTCTAGATCTAGAGGCCTTAATTATTTAATATTTAAGGCCTTTATCTGTCTCAGGAGTCAGCCACAACCCATCCTTTTTCTGACCATCTGATTGTGGAGCTGCTGAGCCACATTCTTGACAATGTCTGACTTGCAGTCAGCCTCTGGAGTGACTAGAGCAGGGCTGCCCCTCTCTGGTCTCTGAAACATCATCATAAAAGACCCTCTTGGCCCATCTTTATGGACCGAGGCCCTGGTGAGTCTGTAGAAGCAATCCTCTTGGCTTTGGTGTGACAGACTCACAGGCTAACTTTATAACTATGTGAGGTCCCATCTAGACTTGTTGGAGGAACTCCTCTCTTTTAGTTGTTTTACTGTATATAACATTCAAAGATAGCACAACCAGCTCCAGAACACTAACTTGATCAATCCCTGTAACTCTTTCTTAGATTTTTGTAATATAACTCAAACATTCAACAACATGCTTCACATCTTCTAGTTTTTTTCTTTTTCTCCCGTTCTGATATAGCCATTCTATTTTCAGACAAAACTCTCACAGTAAAAAAATTTTTTTTATAAAAACTTTTCTTTTTAACTTTCTCTATTAGAACTACATTTTTATGGCCATAACCCTTCTTTCAGTTTTTTTTTGTTTTTACATTAAAAATTGACTTAATCTAACAGAAAAGTTCAATTATAAACATTTATTTTATTTATATTTATTTAATTTTATCTATTTATTTAAGTTATTTTTTTTTTTTAAAAAAAAAGCAAAACCAGGCTAGTCTCACATTAGTAGCTTCATTTCATCTAGAGACTGAACTATTAGACACCATGGATTTTCCCAATGTCCCCTAAGTTTTTTCTTTTCTTCTGGGATTTGATTTTCCTGGGAGCCTTGCCTGAGGGTTTTAGGATTCACCCATGTACAAGCAACACATTTTGAGACAACACCATTGATAAGGCTATCTAGACTAGGCACGCTTTCCCCCCACCCCCTTAGTTTAGGAGGAGAAGGACAGAATCTGGGGTGGCTACAAGAACTTTTATTTGGTGGGAACCAGCAGTTAGCGTAATGGCTATGTCGCTGGACTCCCACATAGTCGACTGCGGTTCGTGTCCCGGACCTGGTGGCTTAAAACTCATGCCGGGCGCGTGTGCGTGCATGCCCAAGATCCTGAGAGGAGAATGGAGGAGAAGGGATTGCGGCATGACCATCCCCCCTGGGGGGTGATTTCTTGCTTTCTGTCTCTATGTCTCTCTCTGTCTGTCTGGCGAGCGCACGCGCCCTACAGTGAAAATCTCTCAAAAAAAAAAAAAAAAAAGAACTTTTAGTTGGTGATAGAGATGTCTCCCTTCCAGCTGGGTCTTATAATTCTCTCTCTTGTCACAGGCAGAGACCTGTTTCCTACTATTTGTCCTTATTATTATTATTATTATTTTTAGTATACTTTTGGAAACAATCTTAACCTCTTAGACAGAAATTAATCTTAGTCATTTTAAGGGTTACCTGAGGCTTGTCTAATGTTGTCAGATGTCCAAGGGGAGCCGGTGGGGTCTCAGGCCCCATCAATTCTCAATTTCAAAGGCCAGCATAGACTCCAGAAGTCCAGAGCTCCTTCAGAGCTCAGTGCATTCTGTCTCATCTTTAGTGATCATTTCACATTGGAGATAAGGCCCCACTGGAGGACATGAGGATGCCAGTCATGGGCATTGTTCAGTGCCCAGGCTGCCCACATTAGAAACAGAGTTTTGTTTTATTTTATTTTCTGAGGCAGAGGCTCTGATCTGGGCCGTTTCCAGACCCTGCCCTCAGAGTAGTTCCCAGCCTTCAGGATTACCACGAGTGACTACTGGGTGAGAGTTAAGTCAAAGGTTAAGGTGCCCTATCAATTTTATTATAACACTTCTCTGAGTGATTTGGAAACTTTTCTGATATCTGTTATGAATGTCTCTACACTGAGAAGTGAACCTAAGTTTCAATAGATCCTGCAAGGAGTGGCTGAGTATACTGTCAGCAAGACAAAGTCCAGTGTACAGGTTTTTTTTACAAGGTATCTCCCTTATTGCTTATACAAAGCTCTACCTGGAGAATGTAGTCTCAGTCTAAATGTTTGTTTTCTAGTTAAACCTCTTTCTTGATTATTTAACTAAAGGGAGAGTCCAGTTGGGGAGAGGCCTGACTAAAAGAAACAGAAGTACAAAAAGGCAAGGGGCTGGGTGACAAGGCAGTTTGGAGCTCTAGCCTTGTTTCACCCCAATTTTATTTTTTTTTGAGACTCACCCTATTAAGCTATTAGACAGTAGTTTTTAAGCTTTTGTTCTAGATACATAGGCCCAATTTTTAATGGCCACAAATATTTATCTTTTTTTTTAACCTTGGGAAATTTGATGTTTTAAAGGAAGTATTAAGCTTGCCACACATTATTATTATTTTTTTTTTTTGAGAGGTTTTCGCTATAGGGCGCGTGCGCTTGCTAGACAGACAGAGAGAGACATAGAGACAGAAAGCGAGAAATCACCCCGCAGGGGGGATGGTCATGCCGCAATCCCTTCTCCTCCATTCTCCTCTCGGGATCTTGGGCACACACGCACATGCGCCCGGCGTGAGTTTTAAGCCACCGGGTCTGGGATGCGAACCGCGGTCGACTACGTGGGAGTCCAGCGAAATAGCCATTACGCTAACTGCTGGTTCCCAACCTTGTCATACGTTTATTTTGAGCAAATTTTTTATTTTTGGCAATCCTAAATTTTACCACATACCAGCTGCTTATGAACATGTACAAACAATAACAAAATTTGTTTAACAACTTTCTAATGTAAAACTGAACAATTTTACTAATAGGCCCTATTAATATTTTTTTTATAAAATTTAATGACCAATAATAGGAATAACTAAAGCATATTTGCTTAACAATAAGAATTATAAGGAGGACCTCAGAGGGAACCACACAATAATGTTTCTGTGAGTCCATGTTTAACAGTGGATTTATATTCCTTTACACCCATTTTACCTCTTTAATTTAGGTGCATTGCATTGGCTACTTAGTATGTAATTTTGTCAAATTTTTTTTTACTTTTTTTAAGTCAATTTTGGCTTACTAGTTTAGATAACCAATCAGTTTACATAGAAAATGAAGATTTTACCCAGTTAAATTATTAGATTTTTTTAAGAAACCTATACTTGTAAGAGTACTTTTTTTTCACCCTCTTTGTGAATTTCCTTAAGGACATAACATTAGGATTTTAGCCATAGTTAATGCTCTGACAAAAATTTACAACTGACAAAGAAATTTGGCTATATATGCCAGATTAACATAATTGTCTACCATTAACTCCTGGGTATCTCTAATTATTTTGGAACACAATGCATATATAGGTGTATAAGTACATAACATTTATACATATATCTCCAATATAGTATCAAGAAAATTAGAATGACTTAATTTGACAATGCTTTCTATTTTTATCCAACATATAAATAATAAGCCTGATTAATTTAACAACTCCCCTTTTGCATGTTTCAGGGGCCCTCTGTAAACATTCCAGAGTTACTTTGAGGTCAGAGATCCTCTGTTAGCACTAAAACTAAAGCAGAGAAAGCTAGTCATGAATTCATTTCCCTATTAGATACCACTATGTAAAATGCAACATACGACACATAAATACCAGCTGTTTCACTAAATCAACCATATTAAGATAAATATGATGTTGTTTAATTAACAAAAACCTAGACAAAATATATGTTGGAAATTGTGAAGACTTTCACTTATTAATTTTTTTTATTACACTTGAAACCTCATTTACTAAAGTTATATGAACTTGAGCATTTAGACTAATTTGTATGAGCGTTCTTTTTATATACTAAATTGAATAGAATTTTTTAAGGTCCTTTTTTTTTTTTCTCAGACATACAACATGCAGTACATAACATGACAAATTACAGGTATAGATGCACACACACATCAGGACTATTAGAGCCAATTTCCCAGGGGTTACTTTGACACTAATACTCATTAGAGTAACCCTTTTTGAAATTTAATTATACACTTAAGTACAGTAGAAAATGGTAGAAATTTAACTTTTTGTTGCCTATACCACTAGAGTTTTTATCACATAGATATTCTTAATATTTTTACCCCTTACTCACCAGTTTGTCTTTACTGAAGCAGATAGAACAGGACAGGAACACGCAAAGAAATGCTTCTGGAGGTCTTACAGCAAAAACTCCACAGACTTTTGGAGGAGTAGTCAGCGTCTCTGGTCAGCTGCCAACAATCCCGAGAGGCCAGGGCCCTGAGAAATCCCAGGTGGTGCCTCCCCTAGAGCAGTCC